CTTTAATATTAATTGAATACCTGACTGCATAGCATATTAACGTAAATGTGTGTCTACATATCAAAACCCTTGCAAGTCATAAAATTTTTTTATGCTAATTAGGGTTTCAACAAAGCCTTTTCTGAATAACTGCAGAGTTATTTAACTTGTCTGTCATCAATTTACACATGGCTCAGGCAGTAATGCACATTTTCTTCCTTTCTTGTAGGAGGAGATGACCGCCGGGTTTTACTTTGGCATATGGAAGAAGCCATCCACTCAAGAGTCAAACCAGTTCAGCTGAAAGGGGAGCATCACTCTAATATCTTCTGCCTAGCTTTCAACAGTGGCAATACGAAAGTGTTCTCTGGAGGTAAGGAAGGAAGACCATCCTGATTTCACAGGGATTTGCATTGTGAATGCCTTCAAGTAGAAGTCATGAGCAAGATCCTGCCCCACATGAAAGGTCTTTTCCATCGTCCCCTAAGGATCTGGAAGGTGTCCTTAATCAGCAGCTGAAGGTTCTTTGGGAATAGGGAATTCTTTAACTAGCACAACATTTTCAATTTTATCATGCTTCTCCTTTTCCCAAACCCTGGTCTAAGTGCATTGTGTCTCAAGCTATCATGAGAATCCTGGGTCCAGTCTGCCCTTACCTGTGCTACAGACTGTGGGATATGGTCTTTGTTATTCCCTCTTAGCTGTACTGAAAGCAGACCCTGCATCCTCGCTGGCACTCAAGCCCGATGCTTGAAAATCTCTGCTGCTGCTAGCTGATTTTAATGCATCCTTAGATGGCTAATGAATGGCTATTGCCATCTATTGGTGGATCACTTTTTCTCAGACCTCATATCAGTCCTTGCTAGATAAGTGTCTGCCTTATAGAACTGTTGGCACATTGAGCTCTAATTGGCCTTGGTATTCTTCATTTTTTTTTAATATAAATCTACTTTTTAACAGAAAGTTTAATTCAGTCTTAAAACTAATACAAGGAAAGTGGGCATGTACTTGTTCTGGGGTAATAATCCCTAGAATTTATGTTCATTTCATCACTTGATTTTTTTAAGCGTTGAGGTAGGGAGGAAAATTGAATTGAGAAGAAAAAGGCACAAGACTGTCCAATCCAAAATTTCTGCTGTACTTCGTTTCCTCTATCTGACAGGATAATAGAATGGACAGGAATTTGTGTCTTTCATCTGTATGTCCATTAACATATACCTAGACTTATTTTAGGTTATTATGAGACTACTTGTTCAGAGCTCCTCATTACTTTTTTGAACCAAGATTTGTGAACTGCAGATCAATGCCATAAATTGATTCTAAGCACATGTGAATGGTGGAAGCTCCCCATCTTTCAAGAGAAAAAGAAAAAAAGGCATGACAAAGCTTAAGATAGTGTCAAATTTTAAGGATGAAATGATTCAGATACATTTCTCAGGTGGAGAAGACACCAAAAATGTCAAATGGTGATGTCTGTCTTCTGATTCTGGGGACTGCTGTTTGTTTTATGAGAAAGACAGCAGTCCATAGTGTCTTCAAATGAATGTATCTGCGTGAGTGATTCCAATGAAATTTTGGGCTGGAGTCTGTTTTACTTTAGTTTGAATTCAGACAAATGGAACCTTACATGAATATTCAAGGAATGAACTGTGCCAAATCTTGCTGGAGCAGCTGTAATATATTTTTTTCATTTCCAACTCAACCCTCTGTCCATTGGGCCCTGCTGTCAGAGGCTACTGTTTTCACAGGAAGGGCAGCAGAGTGGTCTGACTATACTTTACCACTGCAGTTAACACCTGCAGTTAAAGATTGACATCATTGATTATGGTGGATTTTTGCTAAGATGCCAGGTTAGATGAGCTGTGACAGCTGATGCACAGACAAACTGGCTGTTCTCATCTCTTTTTCCTCCTCTAGTTTGCATAAACACACTGTGCCTCTGCCAGAAATTATTTCCATTGGAGGAGTCAGGCACTCTTTCAGCTGCTCCACTAAGATTCACAGAGCTCAAGGGCTGTGAGTCTGACTCTTGGATCACTTGTAAAGAGTCATTTTGCTGCATGGCCTAGATGTACCATCTGTTTTATCTGTGTCGGTAAAATGGGGCTAACTATATTTATTCACTCAACAATGTTCTGGGGGATTCTTAAAACGTCTGAAAGAATTGTGAGTCCTAAGATCTGTTGGTCATCATCCCACCCAGTACTGAAGTTGGAGTTGTATTCAAATCATGGAAGTTGGAATACTTAAAAAAACCCCTAAAAAATTAGAATATGGAAGCTAGCACAAGGGGCACAGAACTCAATTAATTGTGTAAATAAAGCTGCCAAGGACTAATGACTTAGGATCTGATGACCTTTCCCTAAAGCAGCTCTTGATAACAGAGGAGAAAGGATTTTCCACTTCAGTACAAATTGAATTGCATCCAAGGAATTTCCAAACTCTCTGCTTTGAGGGAACACATGTGTAGCATGCACCTCATGTAGCTGTTACAAAAATGGAAGGCAGGAACTGAGTGGACAGTGTTTTGCTGGTAATCTCTGGAGAAAAACCTTGCAAGATAGCAAAGAAGTTCCCATCCCTGAAGAATACTGTTGCCCTTCTCTGTCCACACACACTGAGAGTAGAGCAGCATTTGAAATGAAAGAACCCCTCTTAGTAAACTGCATGGAGTTGTTGGGGGTTTTGTTGGGGTTTTTTTTGCATTTAACGTTTGCTATATGAAAAGCTGAAATAAACCTACAGGGAATTGAATTTATTTCTGTAGAGGCTTGATGTGACAGATGCAGGGTTTAGGCTACCTTAACTGTGCTCCTCTGTATGTGCTCTGCGGTATTTCATCCTCACAGATATAATTGAAGGGAATCACAGATACTTCTTGTCTTTCTGATCGTCATAACTGCAGTTACCAAAACGAGAGATTATAAATGGGAGAGTTGTGTATACAATTACAACCCAGTTATTCTCAACGAAGAATGAACTCTCCTGTATTAAAGTAAAACACTGTAAGTGGGAACCCTACTGGGCTGAACAGCAGTGACATTTTCTGCAGGGATGAATCCTTACCAGAAGCAACCGAGCAGCTTGTGGTTAGATTTTTGTCACCACCTTCTCCTCCCACACACAAAACAGGGAGAAGCAGTGGTTATTCCACACACTCCCTCCTTTTGTTCGTTCTTTCCCGTTTTGGAGCTTGTGATGCAAGGGAAGGTTGATCCCATGATGACTAGAGGCCTGATGCCAGGCATCTAGAATGATTCTTGTGTTCCTACTGTATGGAGGGTGAGGAGCAGGAGTGTCTGCTGGAGGAAATTTTGTCACTGGAGAATCTAGGCTACATTTTTCACTGGTGAAATACATAGGCACTAGAATAATTTTACTAGGTATAAACCTTGCCTATAATGTATAATGGGCAGTTTCCATTGCAATTAATGATCAAAGGACACTTACACATAAGTGACTTGTTTATTGTGCCATGGAAAAGATGAGCTACTGCAGTAATCTAAGGCTGGCACGATTTAACTAGGAGCCTGTGCAAAGAGCAAGTTGATGTAGAAAAATCTCACGCCTCATTAGTCAAAGAGAAACTTTCTCATATTTCTTCTGTTGGGACAGAATACAAATTGAAATGTGTATGAGATAAATGAAAACTGAGTCAAGTGAACACTTAAGAATCATAACATGAAATCTTGCTCCTTCTGAACCTCTGGCTTTGGTGTACATTAGGAAAGCTTCACAACTTGATATCGCAACTACAAAGACATACTGAGCATAAAAATATGACTTTGTGGGCTTTCTGTTTTTTTTCTTCTGAATTAAATAAAAATGTTGGTCTTAAATATTTCTAAAGAGGAGGTGCCAAGTTAGATAAATTAATATTCACTGCGCAGACTAAAAAAATACTCTGTTGCTATAGCTTGAAAAACTCTGTGTGAGCCAGTGGAATTACTTTGTAGCTGTGACCCTCTTAGTCTGCATGCATGTGGTTGGTTTCCATTGTATTCAATGGATGTGATCAAAGAAAAGTGGCATGATTGTCTGGTTACTTGGTTTGGGTTTTGTTAATACAAAAGAAATTACACTGGTTGTCACGTTCGTGCCTTCTCAGTGGTTGCAAAACCCTGAACACTGACAGCGTGAACTGGCAGCATTTGAGTTTGGAGCCCAGTGCATTTTGCTTATGGCATCTCTTTTTGCCTTCCGTTATCTTTTTATGGAGCATCCTTTGAGCAGGAAGAAAGGTGTTTTCACATGAGAGTTAAATATGTTCTACTGCTTCATATAATACTTTTCTCTTTACTGCAAATGTCCCAAAACTCAAGCTCAAACTGAACAAAGAATGATCAGTAACACAGTTAAGTAGAATTATTTGTTGAGCAGGTAGAATGGATTGGTGCATTTGATCATGACTGGAAATGTCACATGAAGCCTTTCACATAACGGAGCAGAGGGCTGGCCACTTGTCAACTGAACTGGTCTCCTCTCTGCTTCAGTTTTGTTTTCAAAATAGAAAATTAAAACAAAAAACATTTATTGTTTTGGTTTGGGGTTTAGTTTTGGGTTTGGGGTTTTTTTTTCACTATAATGCCTTTTAACCAGTGGAACATGATGTTAAGTGTTTATATTTCTCTTTATAGGCAATGATGAGCAAGTTATACTCCATGATGTTGAAAGGTAAATACACAGTTTGTGTTTCCACTGCTTCAAGAGCTCCCTTAATGTCAACTCACTGGAGGCACTTTTTGTTTTAAATTAATGGTTTGCGAGAAGAGCAAAGTGTTTTAATCCTCAAACATGCTTTTTATTTATCTAAATTAATACCTGGCATGAAGTATTCCCCATCACCCCATTTTTTTTTTTCAGGACTTGGGTTCTGCACCATTTTGACCTTGGGAGAGAGAATGGTGATTTAATACATATGCTCTCCTGCAGGCAGCGTAGTAGATTCAGAGTAGATTCATGAGCCAGATTATTCCTGCACATATACAAGTACTGTGGCACATACAGGCTTTTTGGTTTGTTTTTCAAAACACTCACCTGACTTGTATTTGAGACAGCTAGTGCTTGGCCTACCTACCTACCTTTTAAAACTTTGGGTGCAACTGCCTGATTCTCCACACTAGTGTGAAGCGTATTTATTTTGATACTTACTTTTTAGCAAAACTGCAGGGCAGTTGGGAATTAGGCTTTGTTGTGCTACATGAAGATTAGACTGGTAGTCAAAAAATAATTAATACAATAGTGGTAATGTATTAGGTTGGAGTTATCTGGATATAATGTCTTTTGGGCTTACTGCTTTTGCAGTAGAAAAACTATAAAGTTAAAATTTTGGTCTGTATTAATAACTTCTTCAGATTTAAGCAATGACTGTTTAAATAACATGAACTCAAGAAAATCAAGTATGGAGAAAAAGCAGGAAGAGATATATTTAAGAACAGAGAAATGTAAAACCTTAAATCTTTTTGAGTTGCCTGAATCCTTGTTAACATAATTTGAACATATGTCTTGCTATGTTTGTCTAAAGATTTTGCATCAGTGTACATCTGCCTTCTATCACACCTTATATCTACTTGTATAAATCTTACATGAGAGCTGGGCAAAAGTAACTTTGCTGTACTCTTCTAATGCTTTCTCAGGAATATTATGTTGTTTGGTGGTTGTTTGGGGTTTTTGGTTGGTTGGTTTGGTTTGACTTTTTGGGGGTTTGTGGTTTTTTGGTGGTGCGGGGGTTTTATGCATTTTTGTTTGTTTGGGGGGGATGTTTGGTTTTGGGAGAGTTGTTTGTTTGGTGTTTTAGATGCTAGTGTTTATTGTGTTCTGTCTCTTCAAGCTTCTGCGAGATCTTTGACAATTTTCTGTATAACACATTTTTTCCTGCTATGTCTGTCTTAGATGTTTTAACAAGTCTTTTTGATATGTATGTATTCTTAATGTGCTTTCGTTATCAAGGGGTTTTTTTTTCGGTATGCTAAGTCCAGTTGTAATGCATACAGAATTAATTTCTCTAGGGTTATTTGTGTGATCTTCTGAAAGAAATCTTACTAGTCTGACACACTGAATTCTGATTGATTTCTACAGAAAGTTACTCTGTGTTCTTGAATGATAACACTTGGTCTATCAAGTACTTTTTCATACCTTTAAATGCTTTTTCTGTTACTGCTTTTTTGGCCTTTGTGTTAATGGTCCATGAGACAGAATTCACTAAGAACATCAATTGCCATATGAGCAAAACACTGATTTTGTGTAGAATCTCTTTGGTGAAGTTTCCATGAGGTATAGGTATTGTATACGAAGTGTATTCTTGCCAAAGAAATAAAATAACTCCCGAATCTTCTGGCTTAGTATTTCAGCTTTTGGCCTCTCCGTGCCACTGTTTCCTCCTTTTTTTTAAATGATCTAAAAAGTTGGGAAAAGAAGAGAGAACAGGCTTTTTTATAGCTGTGGAATGGCTGAAACCTAGATACTTTCGGGGGACTTATTTTTATTTTTTTCTTTTTCACTGCCTTTTTTACTTGGAAAAAATGTAGGTCTGATCTATCGTGGAGAACCAAGAAAACTTATTAAAAAAGCGAGCTGGAAAGTTGTTCTTTTATGAGCGTCAGCTGAACTTTTGGACAATACAGAAGCCTGTATTAAAGAATGAGCTTCTGGTTTGTTTTCCTTTTTACATTAAGTAGTAAAAATGTAGTCCACAGATCCCAAGACCTCTTAAAAAAATTTCCCTTTCCCATTTCTCTCCCAAGCTTAATCTAATACAGCATGATTTCCATAGCATCTTGCAGTTTCTGAAGTTTTTAATGTGTGGGTTTTGGTCTGAGGGATTTTTTTTCCTTATAGCATGACATCTTGGTCACTCTACACGGGTGTTTTGTTTGGTTTTTACTCTGATTAAATACAAGGGTTGTCTTATGAAGTTACATAAACCTTGTCACTAAATATGACTAGGTAGATAAAGCTGTAAATTTGCTTTTTAAAACAACAGCAAAAGAAGGAAGAATGCTAATATTGTGTGTCTTTTTTCCAGCACAGAGACCTTGGATGTGTTTGCCCATGAAGATGCAGTGTATGGCCTTTCAGTGAGCCCAGTAAATGACAACATATTTGCCAGTTCATCAGATGATGGCCGGGTTCTTATTTGGGACATCCGAGAGTCTTCCCATGGAGGTGAGATCTCTAGATGGCAAAGATTATTGATTTAGGAAGAATTTGGGCAAGGCAGGGAAAGGAAAAGTTGTGTTTTTCTGGGACAATTGATACAGGGAGTATTGGAGAAGGGTGAAAGTGAGGCATAATTCTTGTGGCTGGTGATAGGCGAGACCTGGTCTTTCTAGTCCAGTGTTACTGTCTTAAATGACTTCATAAAGTACCAGCATATAGTGCAGGCTAGCATAGAACTTGGTATGAATAGGAATTAACTTGAGTAAAGAAGCAGTGGAGGACATGCTTCTTCAATAAAAATGTCTTGATAAACTTGAAATCAATTAGGAATGTGGATTTTTTTTTTGTTTTGTCTATAGTCTGGGATAAAAAAAATTTTGATGTTTAGAAAGCTGTTATTTTGATTTGAATAATTTTCCAAAGCTATTTATATACTTCCCTGTGACACTGAGAATTGTTCTTATGCATAATGTTTCTTGGTTGTATGGCAACTTAGACCTCTTATGTGATAACAGGGAAGTTGAGTTATTACTTCAATCTTTGTTTTCTAAAACAGAACTGAATACTGTTGATTTATGTAACAAACCTGCAGCTTCTCAAAACACTGCAATCTGTGTTTTTACAGCTGCAGTTTTAAGGCTGAAGAATCTCTGTTTAGAACTGTAGTTATATAAATTTGGAGAGGAATACTTCAGTAATTGAATTTCACTATATGAATACTTAAGTAATACTTTAGTAAATGAAGTTGTGAATTTACCCCATCCTAAAGAACACAAAACTGAGAATTTAAAACTGAGCAATCTGCAGGAGTAGAGAGTCTAGTTCCCTTCCTTCGTAGCTAAAATAAACTTTCATCTTCTTTCGTAAGCTGATTAAATGCAATTGCTTCAACTCATAGTTTCTACTGGTCTTACAGGAAAGTAATTTCTGGCACTGAAATCCAGCTTATGTATTTTGTGGCAATTTGTACACATTTGTTGTTGGATCAAAGTTATGCTTAACTGAATTAGCTTTTTCCATAACTAGTGAATTTGATAAATTTCTAGACTGCGTTTCTGTCTGTTTTCAACTAGGAAATTAAAGCTGAAGCAAGACATACTTTATAGTCTCATAGGAGTATTTTAGAGCCACTAGTATCATGAGGGTTTTATTGAATGTGAGTAACCAGAATTAGGTCTTTCTTGATAAGCCCCACCAGAATACTCGGAGTAGACTGTTTATTGATACCCTTCCTACCTCATGCACATTGCCTTTGTATAAATAAAAATTAAATATACTATATTTCAATAGTCTGATTCTTACTGTGAATTCTGATTCTCTTGTGCAATTGTGATGCCCCTTATCTCTTTCCCATCGTATTAAAACATTCTGAAAAACAATGCACACACTCAGTATATGTATATCACAGACTTTAATAAAAATATCTATAATGTCTCTTCGCTGGATCAGTCTTTGAGGAATTCATTAATAACCTCCCTCTTGCTCAGAAGTCCCTTACTAGCACAGTGAACTGTTGTCTTCCCTTCAGCCTGTTTCTTACCCCATGCAACTTCCTTTGCTAATCCCAACTGCCTGTAGCTAAACTTGATACTACACCACATGTTGATTTAGTCCTCATTAGATCTACCAATTTTCCCCTGTGTAAAAGGTCAGTTATTTTATCGAAGAAAGAGATTAGATTAGTTTGATGTGACTAATTTACCTTTGGTAAATCCAAGTGTCACCTCATCCCTGCTTTTCTGTTTTCATAATACCCAAGTGATGAGACCAGACACTGAATATGGCTTCCAAATTAGAATTGGTGAAATGCTGCTTTATTGCCTTCTCCTGAACTCTACTCCGTAATGATCTGTCTCTGTTAGGAGAACTACCTGTTGTTGACAGTGGATGTCAACAGTTGGTGGGACTGGATGCTTAAATGCATCTGTGTGAAGCTACTCAGCGTCATAAGCTAATGTCCAATCTAATCTGAGTTTCTGAAATCATATGAAATGAGGTTTGTCCTTCTTTTGTTGTAGTTAAACCTTGCTACTGCTTTTACTGTTGCTGAGACTTGGAATGAGAAGGCTGCACCACTGAAAATGGAGTGAGGAAATCTTGGCTGTGATACATTTGGGGCTTTTTTGGAGTAGTGTCTTAGGTTCTCTGAATTTTTAATAAAGGGCTTTGACATGCTTATATAGGAGTCCTGAGTCAGCATTTATATGTGAGCCCTGCCAATGTTTACTACAATATAATGCTTGTCACTGGGGTAATCCCCTTGTCTGCAATGGTATTGTCATGGGAATAGGCGCTATGCCTGCCAGCATTGAGTATGGTTAGTTACCCTGAGCGGCCAGCTCATTAAAACCTTGCAAATAACCTCCTAGTTTAAAATAGTACATTAAAAGAAGATGGAAAAGGAGTTTCATTCCCCTTTGTTTCTCCTTGTCTTTCACTGCTGAGTGATTTATGCAGTAATTTTTATAAACCCACTTTTTTTTGTTAGAGGTGGTGTTGAGCTGCTCCCTTGAGAAATGTTTTCATACTCCAGTGTATAAGAGCTACAATTGTGAATGAGCATAAAAAACAATAAAAAAGTAATCCCCCTACTTTTCATTAAAGTGACTTAGTGCCTCATTAGTTTAGCTGCTGTAGTCTCTCTTTAATTTGACAGGCTGAAAGGCAACTTTTGATATCTTAGAAGAAAACTGTGGTAATAAAGGGGTGAAGAAAAACACCAGTAATTAGTGACAATGATTTGACTAAACAAACGTACACAAAGTAAAAGTTTATTTTTAAAAATGACAACTTTATTTGGCAATCTGATGTTGTTTGTCTCTCCACTCAAGTAATGCAGCCCTTGCTTTAGTGGGGGCTGCCATTTTAGTAACACAGCCTTTATGTCCCAGCAGGGATCTGAGTTGATGATGCAAAAGTAGAAGATCAGTTTTGGCATTAGATCTTACTTGGAACTGCTGACAAACCACCAGCAATCTCTAAAGCCTTTGGGCAGACCGGCAGAACAAAAGTTTGCTCCTGTTCTTCCCTTTACCTCTGCCTCCCATGACAATTAATAGCACCAGGGAGCTTCAGCCATGGTCAGAGATCTTTGTTTTGATCACTGCTGAAAGAATGCTAAAAAGGAAAGTCCCTGTGTCAAAAAGCTTGTAATAAAGCATAAGACAAGGATACAGATGGGGCAGGACAAGTAAACATTAATTCTGTCTCATCTGCTTGATTGGCAGTAGTTTCAGAAGGTATTGCGAATTTGGGAGAGTTTAATGTCTTAATGAGGGATATGAGGAAAGAAAATGAAGTACCTTTGGAGGCGCTTGTGGGGCTAACGGTGCCTGCACACAGTGGCTCAAATAAGGGCAGTAAGAGAGTCTCCCAAGCATGTGAGCAACACTGGTTGCATCAAAGCAAACAGTGAATGGAAAAGTCTGGGATAATCCCTGGCTCAGAATAGGCATTCATTCAAGTTTCTTAGTTGAGTGAAAGAGTGGCAGCAGACCACAAAAGATACACACAACAAAGAGAATTAGGCTGTGCATAAAGCCATAAAACTAGGGGAAAGATACAGAGAAGGATGGCAGAGTCCATGGCTTTTTCCCCTCCTCTTCATGGAGGCAGCACTCATGGCAGAGTAGCAGGCCAAATACAGTCTTGTTACACTAATCAAGATGAGAGGGAGAGAGTCTGGATGAGCGTGTTTTTAACTCTGTGTGTGAACAGCAGAAGCCAACTGTTAACATTTTTATGCAAGAGGAATACCCTTCTTGTCTACTTGTACAGCACTGAAGGGATGGCAGGCCTCTTTTCCCCAGGGTTGGCAGCTTGCTTTGAGCTGAGTTCCATACTTTTTGTAATATTATTCTCCCATATAAGCAATTGCTGCTGCGTTTACAGTTTGGGTGATCATCAATGGCTGTGGAAGCTTCCAGGTATATATTGCTAGGAAACTTTCAGAAGCTCCCCTGCGTGTAGTTCTTATTAGATGACCATTTTGTCATGAACCTTAAGAGATTCAAATACTGGATCTTTAAGTGGCTAGTTTTAAACTCTGATAACCTTCCATAAGCAAAATGGCATCTTGAAATCCAGTATGTGTCATTTTCCATATTTAGATAAAGTTAATGTACACGTGGGTGGATTTTAAAACCTCAGGTTTTATATTGCTTTGGATGTGTCAGCTTGAGAAATGGTTTGAACATGTCTCTGTATCTTCAGACCTTGTTATGCTGTTTCCATGCTAAGCTGCCAAACTTGTTGCATCGAACAGTTGTATGCATTGTTTGTTCTTATGTCTGAAATCTCAACTTCTTCAACAGAGCCCTTCTGCTTGGCACACTACCCATCAGCCTTTCACAGTGTGATGTTTAATCCAGTAGAACCTAGATTACTGGCCACTGCCAACTCTAAGGAAGGTGTGGGACTCTGGGATATTCGTAAACCTCAGAGGTAAGATCTGGCTGTTCTTGTCTCATGCTGGGCTGTTTCTTTCCCTTGAGAGATGATGGCATGCTTCTGGTGTTTGGGATTTTTTGTTGTTGTTTTGGGTTTTTTTTGGTTTGTTTGTTTGTTTTTAAGTCAGAACATACGATGGTAAGAGAAGATTCAGAACAACGTTAACAACGTTAGTAATGCTGAACTAAATTATTTTGCATAATTAACAGTCTTCATATGTGTGATCTAATTTGATTTAAAATGGGACTAGATCTTCAATGTTAAGGTAAGTGATTTTTTTGAAAGCCTGCCTAGCCTCAGCACTGCAGATTAACTCGAATTGTTGTGTCAAGTTCACATCGTTGTATTTAGCACTGGCTTGCTTATGCTGGAAGCAGCTATGATGGGCACTGCCTGGTTTACAGTTTGGTTTTTCTACCTGGCTCAGTTTTCAGTAGCTGACTAGAGATTGTGGTCAAGGCAGCTTTTTACTTAATGCTTAAGAGTTTTATATGACTTCCTAGACACCTGGATAATCAGTTTGGCTGCATAATGTGTTTTTAGATTTGCATAGGATTTAAAAAAAAAGAGAAGAAGATAATAAGTTTGCAGTATGAAATGTGGTTAGACTGCATTCTAAAGTGGACATATGCAGTGTCTGATACCAGAGCTTTGCATGCCTGAGAGATTAAGCTTCTGTTGAAGTCTTTTTTTCAGTCTTTGAGATTTTGAATGTAATTTCTTGTTTTATCATAATAATCAGGGGAAAAAATTTAGCACCTCAAGTAAATGTTTCTCCTTTACACTCCCAACTTTTATGTTTACATATTTCCAGTGTAAGTGTAGAAAGGATAATTTCAAAAAAGTGAAAAGAGGAGAAAACAGGTGGTATTTGTTTTACAGTGCAGTAGCCTCAAATATTTAAAATCTTCCATAGACTACACTTGACTCTCCCCTTACCGGTGAATTCCTTGGAATATATAGAAGTACATATCACTAAAGATTCTTCTTGGGTTTGTACTGTACAGAGAGAAAAAGCAATCTCATATGAAGTTAATTATAACTGGCTTAAAAAAAATCTAAAATGTTTAGACATCCATTACAATACCAACCAAATTATGGTTTCAGAAGGGTTTATTATTCTTAAATTGTAAACATTAACGGTTTGAATTTATTTTTATTTCTAAGCTTGAATCAGAATTTGTATGCTGATGCTGGTGCCTCTAGAGCTTACTCACATTTACAAAGTTTGCCAGAGCCTTTGTTGGCAGCTGTTGTACAGTCTGCCATTAAATTTAGGTTTGATAAAATTTAACTGGGAGGGAGTTAGGAAGTTGCCTAAGCTTTCTTCTCTTATCCCTGTCAAACTCTTTACATCCAGGTCTTAGTAAGTAACTTTCTAACATCAAATTAACTTCAGCATTTACTGGATAGAGGAGAGAAATACAAGATGTTAGGGTTATTTTGCTCTTATGAAACATGTTTCTTGGGGGTTTTTTCCCATAAAATTTCTGTCATTTTAACTTCAGTTCATGCCTGTTTTTTCCTTGTGAACTAACATGGACAGAGTTGGCTTCCTCTTGTCAAGTCAGCTGGCCTCAGACTGGGTTTGCAGGATTCTTTGTTTTTCAGCTTCTGCCTCAATTTTGGGATTTAAGAACTTCTGCAGGTTGTGTTGGTCTTGTTTTCCAAAGGGAGCTACACCAAAACATTTCTCTCTTCAGTGTGATTATAAAAGGAATGATGTTTATGGTAGAGTGGTATAGCTTACATCAATAGAAATTCTATATGGATGCAAAAATTTAGAAGTCGTCTTTCACTTAGGTAGCCAAGTGAAATGGAATCACCCCTGGAAAGGTTGTACAAGGCTAACACGAATAGAGAGAGGAAGCAAGTATCGCTAAGGATACAGGCATTGACCCTGATAAACACAGGAGCAGATTACTTGAGTAAGGAATTCTCCTCTTACAGATTTTTAACAGCTGCTTTCTAATAGCATAAATAGTGCCTTTTTCTTATTTTTAGCTATTATCATTGAGACTTTGATCTCCAAAAGTTTCTCAGCTTATACATTTCTCAGCATATATATATATATAAAATTAAATCTAGCCAGGGATGTCAAAAGCAGCAAAAAAAGCTTCTATAGGTACGTCAGTGATAAAAGCAAGACTAAGGAAAATGTGGGCCCTCTTTGGAAGGAAATGACACCTGATTACCCAGGATATGGAGAAGGCTGGGGTACTTAATGACTTTTTTCCCTCAGTCTTCACTGGCAAGTGCTCTAGCCACACTGCCCAAGTTGCAGAAGGCAAAGGCGGTGACTGGGAGAATTAAGAGCTGCCCACTGTAGGAGAAAATCAGGTTCGAGACCATCTAAGGAAGCTGAAGGTTCACGAGTCCATGGGAACTGATGAGATGCCTCTGCAGGACCTGAGGGAGCTGGTGGATGAAGTTGCTAAGCCATTATCCATCGTGTTCGAGAAGTGGCAGTCCGGTGAAGTTCCCACCGATTGGAAAAGGGGAAACATAACCCCCATTTTTACAAAGGGAAAAAAGGACAACCCCAGGGAACTAGAAGCCGGTCAGTTTCACCTCTGTGCCTAGTAAGGTCATGGAGCAGGTCCTCCTGGAGACTATGCTCAGGCACATGGAAAATAAGGAGGTGATTGGTAACAGCCAACATGGCTTCACTAAGGGCAAATCATGCCTGACAAATTTGGTGGCCTTCTACGATGGGATTACAGTGTTGGTGGATAAGGGAAGAGCAACTGATATCATCTACCTGGACTTGTGCAAAGCATATGACACTGTCCCGCATGACATCCTTGTCTCTAGATTGGAAAGACATGGATTTGCTTGATGGACCACTTGGTGGAATTGGCTGGATGGTCACACTCAAAGAGTTGTGGTCAACAGTTTGATGTGGAGATCAGTGATGAGTGGTGTTCCTCAGGGGTCGATATTGGGACTGGTGCTGTTCAACATCTTTGTCGGTGACATGGACAGTGGGATCGAGCGCACCCTCAGCAAGTTTGCTGACGACACCAAGCTGTGTGGTGCAGTCAGCACGCTGGAGGGAAGGGATGCCATCCAGAGGGACCTTGATGGGCTTGAGAAGTGGGCCTGTGCGCACCTCATGAAGTTCAGCAAGGCCAAGTGCAA